TACCCAGGTGCTACCACCATGAATTACTCTGGTGCCACCACCATGATATACTCTGGTGCTACCACCATGACATACTCTGGTGCTACCACCATGATATAATCTGGTGCTACAACCATGAAATACACTGGTGCTGCCACCATGACTTACCCTGGTGCTACCACTATGACATACTCTGGTGCTACCTCCATAACATACTCTGGTGCTACCACCATGACATTCTCTGGTGCTACCACCATGACATACTCTGGTGCTACCACCATGACTTACCCTGGTGCTACCACCATGACATACTCTGGTGCTAACACCATGAGTTACCCTGATGCTACTACCATGACTTACCCTGGTGCTACCACCATGACATACTCTGGTGCTACCACCATGACATACTCTTTTGCTACCACCATGACATACTCTGGTGCTACCACCATGACATACTCTGGTGCTACCACCATGACTTACCCTGGTGCTACCATAATGACATACTCTGGTGCTAACACCATGATATACTCTGGTGCTACCACCATGACATACCCTGTTGCTACCACCATGACGTTCTCTGGTCCTACCATCATGACTTACCCTGGTGCTACTACCATGACTTACCCTGGTGCTACCACCATGACATTCTCTGGTGCTACCACCATGACGTACTCTGGTCCTACCATCATGACTTACCCTGGTGCTACTACCATGACTTACCCTGGTGCTACCACCATGACTTACCCTGGTGCTACCACCATGACTTACTCTGGCGCTACCACCATGACATACTCTGATGCTACCACCATGACATTCTCTGGTGCTACCACCATGACTTACCCTGGTGCTACCACCATGAATTACTCTGGTGCCACCACCATGACATTCTCTGGTGCTACCACCATGACTTACTCTGGTGCTACCACCATGATATACTCTGGTGCTACCACCATGACACACTCGGGTGCTACCACCATGACATACTCTGGTGCTGCCACCATGACTTACCCTGGTGCTACCACCATGACATACTCTGGTGCTACCACCATGACATACTCTGGTGCTACCATCATGACATACTCTGGTGCTACCACCATGATATACTCTGGTGCTACCACCATGACATACTCTTGTGCTACCACCAGGACATACTCTGGTGCTACCACCATTACATACTCCGGTGCTACCACCATGACATACCCTGGTGCTACCACCATGACATTCTCTGATGCTACTACCATGACTTACACTGGTGCTGCCACCATGACATTCTCTGGTTTCTACCACCAGACATACTCGGTGCTACCAAACCATGACATACTCTGTGCTACCACCATGACTTGCCCTAGTGCTACTACCATGACTTACCCTGGTGCTACCACCATGACATAATCTGGTGCTACTACCATGACTTACCCTGGTGCTACCACCATGGGATGCTCTGGGGCTACCACCTTGACATACTCTGGTGCTACCCCCTGACATACTCTGGTGCACCACCATGACAACTCTGGTGCACCCCCATGACATACTCTGGTGCTACTAAACCCTGACATACCCTGGTGCTACCACAAAGACATACTCTGGTGCTACCGCCATGACATACTCTGGTGCTACTACCATGACTTACCCTGGGGCTACCACCATGACATAATCTGGTGCTACTACCATGACATAAACCCGGTGCTACCCCCATGGCATGCTCTGTGTTACCACCATGACATACTCTGGTGCTACCACCATGACATACTCTGGTGCTACCACCATGACATACTCTGGGGCTACCACCATGACTTACCCTGGTGCTACCACCATGACATACTCTGGGGCTACCACCATGACATACTCGGGTCCCCCATGACTTACCCCTTTCTTTCCACCAGAAAACCCGGTGCTTAAAACCATGAGTTACCCTATCTGCACCATGACTTACCTGGGGCTACCACCATGACATACTTGGGCTACCACCAGAAATAAGGGCACCACCAGACATACTCTGGTGCTACCCCATGACTTACCCCGGTCTTCCACTGAATTTCTTGGTGCCCCACCAGACAGTCTCTTGGGCTACCACCGACTTATTGGGGCTACCACCTTTATATTTCCCGGGGCACCACCTATATACTCTGGTGCACCACATGACATACCCTTTTGGGGCTGCCACCTGATTACCCTGGGGCTACCACCATGGCTGCTCTGGTGCTACCACCATGACAAAATCGGTGCACCCCCCTGAATACCGGGGCTTCCCCCCAGAAACTTGGTGCAACACCATGACATACTCGGGGCTACACCATACATACTCGGTGCTCCACAGCATTAAAACCGTTGCTACCCTCCCTGACGTACTTGGGCCTACCATCTGACTTACCCTGGGGGTACTTCCCTACTTACCCGGTGCTACCACCCTACATTTTCTGGGGCTACACCCATGACGTACCCCGGTCCTACCCTCATGACTTTACCCGGTGCGCTACCCTCCTTTCCCCGGTAACCCCTGACTTACCCTGGGGCTACCACCATGACTTACTCTGGTGCTTCCACCAAAATACCCCTGGTGCTACCCCTCGACTTTCCCCTGGTGCGCCCATTCTTCTCTGGGGGCTACCCCCCATGACTTCCCTGGGGCTCCAAATTCCCTGGGGCAACACCATGACTTCCTGGTGACCACCCCGACTTTCCCTTGTCGCCACCATGAAATTTCTCTGGTGCTACAAACCAGACTTACCACTTTGCTGCCACCATAGTTACTCTGATGCTACCACCTGGGGGGTTTCCCCGTGATCACCTGAATTACCCGGGTGTCCCCCATGACTTACCCGGTGTAACCCTTATGACTTAAATAGTGCTCCCCCATGACTTTTCCCTAGTCTACCACCATGAATTATCTTGCTACCCCCGTGAATTACTCTGGTGCACCCCCATTACTTAACTCGGCTACCACCCTGACTTACCTGGTGCTGCTACCATTACTTAACCGGGGGTTTTTAGGTAAGACAATATGCAACAGTTTGGTATCTTTATATGAAACGTTTCGCCACACAGTAGGGTTCTTTAGTCAGTACAGAAAATTGATAGAAGCGAAGATACTTCGACTACTTCCCTAGTGGAGGGGGGTGGTTGAGAGGGACCGACCTTTCAACATCTAGTTCTTACCTTCCCCAGTGGCCCACGTCTCACCTTTGGCGCTAATAAAAGCTCCATCCTGTCACTTCTTTCCTATTGTTTCACACTATGGAACAATGCTCTTCACAGCTTTGGGACTGACCCCCCCTCAAAAATTTTAAAGGGGGAGGACGTTAATCGTCTTTTAATATCTTCTGTTCTATCAAATTTTTCTGTATGACTGGAACCACTGTTTAGGCGAAACGTTTCATAATAAAGTACCTAACTGTTGCATAGGGCTTACCTAACAACCTGCGGTATTTTTTTCCATTTTAATGTTCAATCGTCAGACACTGCAACACAAGGGTACTTGTACAGACCGCAATCAAATTCGAACTTCCATAGTAGAGGGGGGTGGATTTTTAGAGGACTTCCTTTCAACGTCTGATTCTACCTCTTTATGGCCTACGTCTCACCTCTGGGGTAAATTTTAAACTCCTCCTGTTCTTTCCAAGTTTTTTGAAAAATGCTTTTTCTCAGACTGAGGGACTTCCACCTAAAAAATTTTGGGGGATGACTGATTACATGTCTTTTAAGTATCTTCTGCTTCTATCACTTTTGTATTGACTGAAGAAGGCCTACTGTGTAGGCGAAAAATTTTTTATAATAAAGATACCTAACTGTTGCATATGTGTCTTACCTAACAACCTGTCGGTATTTTATACCATTTTAATGTTCAATCTGTCAGACACTGCAACACAAGGGTATCTTGGTACAGACCTGCAATCAACTTCGACTACTTCCACTAGTGAGAGGGGCTGGATTTGAGAGGGACCTGACCTTTCAACATCTGAGTTCTTACCTCTCCTAGTGGCCTACGTCTCACCTCTTGGCGCTATATAAAAGCTCCATCCTGTCACTTCTTCTCCATATTGTTTCACACTATGGAACAATGCTCTTCTACAGACTGAGGGACTGACCACCTCAAAACTTTAAGGGTGATGGACTGATTACATCGTCTTCAAGTATCTTCTGCTTCTATCAACTTTTCTGTACTTGACTGAAGAAGCCTACTGTGTAGGCGAAACGTTTCATAATAAAGATACCTAACTGTTGCATATGTGTCTTACCTAACAACCTGTCGGTATTTTATACCATTTTAATGTTCACTTAACCCGGGTGCTACCACAAAGACTTACCCTTGTGCTACCACCATGGCTTGCCTCTGGTGCTACCACCATGACTTAACCCTGGTGCTATCACCATGACTTAACCCTGGTGCTACCACCATGGCTTAACCCTGGTGCTATCACCATGACTCACCTCTGGTGCTACCACCATGACTTACACTTAGTGCTACCAACATGACTTGCACCTGGTTCTCCCATTATGACTTACACCTGGTGCTATCACCATGACTTACACCTGGTGCTACCGCCATGACTTACACCTGGTGCTACCATGACTTACACCTGGTGCTATCACCATGACCTCCTAAGGTTCAATCTGCGTCACTTCCTTGGCTATATAACCTTATTCAGTTGTTGGCAACACTGCTCCACCGCCGGGTTTGTTGCCTCACTAAATTTCCAGGATGAGGCACCGGGTGATATAAAACCTACTTTTAAAATAATCTGTTATCAAACCATAGGTTAGGTCTAAGTTCATAGGTTTAATTTATAACATACTGATCCTAATGCTATTGTTGCGCAGTATTAGTATGCCCATCATACACTTGGTGACTATTTCTGTAGAAGGTTTTTATTATCATAACCTGTGAATATATCATAATTATTTTTTATGTATATTTGAGTTTTGTTTCTGAATTGTAGGGAGGGAGAGAGGCAGCTGGCAAAGTTCCTCACTTTCCTAGAGGGCAGGACGCTTATTAACCCTGGTGTTTATACCCCCTACAGGCGCCTCACGGGCCCAGGATCCTTCGGCTACTGGAGGAGGTATACCGCTGGCTGCCTCTTGTCACTATCATCGATAACAAGGTGATGGTGGTCCACGGTGGCATCTCCAGCGACACTGACCTCAGCTACATCACAAACATCGACAGGAGCAAGGTTGAGAGCATTAGTGTGTCTCTTCAGCACCGGTTCTCTGATGTTCTTAAAGAGCTCTTCTTCTTCTTCTTCTTCTTCTTCTTCTTCTTCTTCTTCTTCTTCTTCTTCTTCTTCTTCTTCTTCTTCTTCTTCTTCTTCTTCTTCTTCTAAAGAAGTACAGCTTGCCCCTCTTCTTTCCGGAATCAACCCTGATTTCTGCCCACCTCACTTTTTCACTGAGGAGTTCGGCAAATAAATTTCCTGATTTTTTTATTTTTCCTTGGCTTGCCTCTCCGACACCCCGCTTCACCACCTTAAAGCACACAGCTTTAATTAAACCTTCACTAATTGCATGCGCTTTCTTCTGCTTCTCTGTTTCGCGGGAAACCTCAAAACATACTTCCATTACTCTGAAGGAAAGCACCACCCTTATCCAGTTACTGCAATTTAGCACTACTCACACGTTTTCGTATGTGTATGCGTGTGTACTCGCCAATTTGTACTCACCTGTTCGTGGTTGCAGAGATCGAGTCGTAGCTCAGACTCTTCGCCGTGTCGTTACTAGGTCCATTTTGTACATGAATGGTATACAATAGTGACAAGATGCAAATTAGATACATGTGCAACATCTGGGTATCTTTATTGTAGACGTTCCGCCATCCAGTGGTTTTATCAATACAAATTCAAGGACATAATTGGAAGACAGAAGAACTATATACAAAAGATGAGGTAATCAGTCCCTCAGTTGGAGTTGGTGTGAAGAGCACCGTAGTCGTGAAGATTCTGGAGCACAGGCAATGTGGCATGCAAAGAGTACGTAACCTTTATTCGGTGCATGTACACACCCTCATTTACAGGCTATCTCCCCCAACCAGCGAACCAGGTGACTGAGGGTTGACGATGGGGCCCCGTCGTTCAACCAGTACCCAGGTTCCAGCCAATGAGAAGATGGTTTTGGCAATCGCAGAGGTTATGTGGGTACCACTCTCCTGTCTGCCCTTGTCATTCTCATTCTAGAGCTGGTTGAAGCACGGTCTGCTCTCTAGTGGCTTCTATTCTGCCTTGCTTACCGTGGAGTGCACTAATTCCTATTGCTGTACATAGTGTATATAGTGTACGTACTTCTGTTATAAATTGGTGAAGGATAATATAAGTCAAAAGTTTTCTGCTGTGTTTATTTTGCTCCCTTTACACCCAGGATAACAGGCCATTTGGACTCCTGGGTTGTAAGAAGGCAAGAACGCTTATATACTAGCGACAGGTGGAAAGGGACGGGTAGCAGACGAGGGCATAGGCATAGTCACTGGTAGGGGGGATTTCCCAGTGGAAGTAGGTCATACCCAAGGCACGGGTTAGTGGTGGTGGTGGTGGTAGTAGTGGTAGTAGTAGCCGTGAAGAAGGTTATGTAGATGTCCTCTGAACCATCATGGAATTTTGGTTCAGAGGACATCAACATAACCTTAATGGCTGCTACTACTGCTGCTGCTGCTGCTGCTGCTACTACTGCTACTACTACTACTACTACTACTACTACTACTACTACTACTACTACTAACTACTACTACTACATACTAACTACTACCACCACCACCACCACCACCACCACTAACCCGTGCCTAGGGTATGACCTACTTCCACTGGGAAATCCCTCCTACCAGTGACTATGCCTATGCCCTCGTCTGCTACCCGTCCCTTTCCACCTGTCGCTAGTAAATAAGTGCCAGCCTTCTTGGCTGTACTCCAGAATCTTTACGAATACAATGCTCTCACACTGACTCCAAGGCTGAGGGACTGATTACCTCATCTTTTGTATATAGTTCTTCTGTCTTCCAATTATGTCCCTGAATTTGTATTGAAAAAGCCACTGGATGGCGAAACGTCTACAATAAAAATACCCATATGTTGAGAAATGTCTAATTTTTCATTAGGTCCATTTTCCCCCACTTTGGTTTTTTGAATAACAAAACATTAAATTTTCAGCTAAGAATTAAAACTATAGCTACATACACCTGAATTATATAATAAGAAATTTAGCTAGATAATTCAAGACAAAACCTCATACAGTAGTGTGCATATTAATTGGGACAGTGATGAATAAGCCATTTTTTTGGAAAATTAATGTTTATTTCAAAAATACAGGGTAAAGATATGACAGATAATTGATTTAATAAGGTTAAATGACTACCCTTTACTTTTATAACCCTTTGCAAACACTCTTTAGCATAGAGCTGACCAATGTTGAACATATTTTGGCAAGTTTTCGTAAATGGTACCTGGCCCAAATAACACAGCAATTAGCTTCTCCACAGTTGAACAGTTCTGTTTCGCGATCCGCTTTTTGGTTATTGCCCATAGATTCTCATTTGGGGGTTGAGGTAAGGAGAGTTCCATGCCAATTAAGAACACTTAGCCAACTCTCTTCGAAGAATGGAGCAAGATCCTGCTGGAAAATACCTTCTCCATCAGGAAAGTCTCTATCAACAATGGAAAGTAAGTGAGTTATCAGAATTTCCTTGTATGTGTCACTGTTCATCCTTCCCTCAACAATAACAAGCCGTCCAGGGCTTTTAGCAATAAAACCCCTCCAAACATCTTCTTAGGTGGGTGTTTTGGCACTTTCTGAATGTATCCATTCTCACTACCATTGATATATATCCATGTACTTAAAATTGCACCTCAATCTGAAAATATAACTTTTCTCCGTTCATCTGTCATCCATCCCTTATGATTGGGTACCCATCGCAGGTATTTTTTCTTTATAACAGCAGTCAATAATAGTTTCTTTACCGGCTTTTAGGCAGTTTTGCCAACTTCAAGGAGCCTTCGTCCAACAGTTGAAGAATCAACATTTACGCCAGCTGAAGCCAAATTTCTCTGTAGATCTTTGCTAGTTTTCTTGGGATCTTTCACACTATTTCATATGATTACCTAGTCATCGTGAGGTTTTGTATTGCGTTTTCTTCCACATCTTCCTTGACGCAGCGCTCCACAATCACCAGTGTCGTTCTAGGCTCAAATTTTCGACGATCTGCCTGATGCTTAAATCAGCATGTTTTCTAAGAGCTACAATACTTGCACGCTTCCTAAGTGTAACAGCTATCATGAATTTGGCAAAACCACATTCACTCATGTAGCACACTTGTAGGAACAGCATTACAGAACAACAGCTGTTGTAGCACTTACGAGAGTCACAGGGTAACACCACAGCTGGATGGTTGCCAGAAGTCGGTAGTAAGCTCTTAATTAAATTAATTAAGCCGAAGACTAAGATATATGTGATAACACCAAATTTACTCCTCTCCCAATTAATTTGCACACTACGTCTTAAGTATGACATATATCTTTACCTGTGGTCACAAACGCCTCACAATTACTTCTCAAGTGAATAATCTAAAAATAGGATAGAAAAATATATTTATTAAATCATAGAAAAGTTAATTTTTTTATATAAAACTCTTGAAATTAATATTTAGTATATTTCAAAATTATTTTTTTACGGCTCAAAATCTATTTTTTATTTAATTACTTATTCGACTCAGACGAAAGTAACAGCCTCTGTCTTTCATATCAAGTCTTTGACTATCATTTAATGTACTAAAACCGCTGATAATGAGGATATTACTTTCTGCCAATACAAATAAAAACTTAGTGAGATGTTGAAAATGAGAACAACAAAAGCTTTATTTACACCAAGTGGAGACTTTTCACTCATATTTTTTGCAAAAAATTATATTATTTCGTGAGTAGCAACAGCCACACTTTCAGCGACGAAGCGAATCCTAGCCATAACATTAGATTTACAAGTTCACTCATTCTGAGTAGTTACACCCGTCTATGAGGCAGCAGTGTCGCTTGTCCCTCGCTCTCACAAAAAAAAAAAAATGAAAGTTAATTTTCTAAAACGTAAGTGTGACCACTTCTCATTTACATTGCCTAGTTAAATACGTGTTTTAAACACTCAGATTCTTTTGCAAATTTGTTAAAAGTTCATAGGCCATCTAAGACCCTTACAAACTTGCGCTTCATGTGAGAGAAACTTTCTAAATTTCCCATGGGTTTTCAGCATGCTGGTACATTATTTCTGACCTCTATCCTAAGTTTGAGAACCACAAAGCTAGGATAACCTTAGCCTAGAATAATCTAGCCGAGGATAACCTAAACTAGGATGTCCTAACAGAGCCAGATAGCATGACTAATTTCCATTACGGTCTTGGTGTGTTGTAGCATCTCACTCACCTGTCTGTCCTCGGGATTTTCTAAAAATAATGATACAAACAGTAGTTCAAATACAACTTCTGAAATTACAACTCATAACTTATAATAGGCCTACACTATTATTATTATTATTATTATTATTATTATTATTATTATTATTATTATTATTATTATTATTATTATTATTATTAAATTTTTATTATTATTATTATTTGCTATAAAACTGTACGGAAAAAGTGTTTGGTGTTCATCTGAATACAAAGTTACAGCAAGTGCCAGAGTGTTACGCTGGTTTTAGTTCCTCAGTCTTTCAGAATTAAAGATAAGATAGTCTGGACACAATTTGTTAACAGTTTTGTAAACAGTTAATTTTCAGCGCTTTTTCTGTTTTACACTGACTTGTTTGGGTTGAATGGTATCCTGGTGTTTTGGGTTGAATGGTATCCTGGTGTTTTGGGTTGAATGGTATCCTGGTGTTTTGGGTTGAATGGTATCCTGGTGTTTTGGGTTGAATGGTATCCTGGAGTTTTGGGTTGAATGGTATCCTGGAGTTTTGGGTTGAATGGTATCCTGGTGTTTTTGGTTGAATGGGGTCCTGGCGTTTTGGGTTGAATGGTGTCCTGGCGTTTTGGGTTGAATGGTGTCCTGGTGTTTTGGGTTGAATGGTGTCCTGGTGTTTTGGGTTGAATGGTGTCCTGGCGTTTTGGGTTGAATGGTGTCCTGGCGTTTTGGGTTGAATGGTGTCCTGGTGTTTTGGGTTGAATGGTGTCCTGGTGTTTTGGTTGAATGGTGTCCTGGGGTTTTGG